CAGTCAGCTTCTTTGCATATGTATATATTTAAAAACATATTTATATATACATATATTTCTATATTTAGGACATAAAGAATGATGCACCTAACAAAACAGACCCACCACTCTTCAGACAATTGGCCAATAGATTACCAATGCCTCTTTTTTTTTTTTTGCACCAATGCCTCTTAAGACATTTTACTAATCTGTTCCTTTTACACAAAAATTCAGATTCCATGAAATACAAAAATGAGGAATTTATACAATTGCTCATATTGCTTTGAATATACACTTGAGAAAATAGAAACCAAATTAGACAGAATTGCCTAAAAATTAGGTGACTACAAAGATATATATATATATACATATATTCCATGCATGATCTGTTTTTTTTTTTTTTCCAATTTGACAGATAGAGTTAACAGTGAGAGAGACAGAGAGAAAGGTCTTCCCTCAGTTGGTTCACCCCCAAATGGCCGCTACAGCCCGAAGCCAGGAGTCAGGTGCTTCCTCCTGGTCTCCCACGTGGGTGCAGGGCCCAAGGACTTGGGCCATGCTCCACTGCCTTCCTGGGCCACAGCCAGTGCCGCAGGTGGAGGATTAACCAAGTGAGCCACGACGCCAGCCCCCCATACATGACCTGTTAAGTCGGTACCCTCAAGTCTGAGTAAACTTTGCTACTCAGGATTACAAATCATTGCCATGGTCCTTATGGGAATTCTGACTGCTCTCTTTGCCTTCCAATTAATCATGATTTGTAGTTTTAAGTGTTTATACCAGGCTGCAGCTATGACCATGCTTCCATGGTATAGCTGCTCTGTTATAAATGTGCTGTTCTTGTGTGACTCTGTGTGCCAGATGCAACAAAAGGTAACACAAGCGGGAAATCCGACCTGTGCTAGCTAAACGGAGGTGCAAGAACACAAGGATGACACCTATGGTGGTCACGGTATTAAGTTGACAGATGACCACAAGGGGGAGCTTATGGGCTTAGTGACTGCAGGGGCCTAAGAGCTGAATGGGATCCCTGCTGCGAAGACCAGCAGCTGACTTCCAGGGAACAGTGACTCTGGCCTGTGGGCAAGGGAACAGTTACTGTACCTTTAGAAGGAGTGAGCCTTACTTCTAGGGCCACTGTAGGGAAAGAGACTAATGACCCCATTGTTTGGCTCTCCATGCATATAGAGAACATCCAATGTGGAAATCTTGTGTACCCCCTTCTTTCTGATCAGTCATCACATCTCATAACTGTGAGAATGTAGTCTTTCATTTTCAACGAGGCATTCTTCAATCTTCCATGTGGTTAATAACCACACATAAATCTGCATCGTATAAGCCTGACTCAATGAGCGTACTCCCCGTGTAAGAGAAGTGTGAAACTGTAAGCACAGTTCGCCTGTGGAACAGCCAGCTGAGGCAGCTGACTGGTTGTTCCCAGCTTTAAATCGTCAGTTTGAGCATCTGCACAAGCTTTCAACCAGACACTGATTATTTCAGTCCATGGTGCTTGTAAGATTATGTTTCGGTATGGTACCCAACTGTTTGTGTTCAGAAGAAAGGTTAATTTAAATATCCTAGGCACCACTCAGTCTTCCTGTTTCACACATACATTTTACCAAAAGAGAGAGAGAAGGCTGTGTTGTGGGTGATCTTCAGTAGAGGGGTGGGAGGGGCTCTTTTTTTTTTAAGGTGGTAAAGATTCAGTACCAGGAGGGCATTCAGTATCAGACATCAATGTGACGAATGGTTTCCTTTCCTTCAGACTCTTGCCAGGTAAAAGCTAAATGTGAGAAGAACTCTGTGGTGCATTGAGCCACACTAGCTAGGGAGGAAACTAGGCTATGCCATCTTATTCCTCCAGGTAAAGTTGAAACTGACATTTTTGTTTTGGTGGCTCTGTGGCAGCATTCTTGACTCCCACTAGTGGATAGTTAGCTCAATTCCTGGCCAATATGCACATGTCTATCTGCCCACCAGACTCCTCATACTGCATAGTAAAAATAATTGATGTTTAATTTTATATGGTGCTGCTTGATTATCTTTTCCACAGTAAAGTTTGTGAGTGTGTGTTAGTTACCAAATGGAGTGTTCAAAGGAAAAAAAGTTAAGACTTAGAATGAAGTTTTTGACCTTACGGCATGCAGCATGACTTAAAAAGAGGAGAAAGCAAATTCTGTATTGATAGTGAAATCCATATGTGTAGTAATTTGACAGTTTTCACAATGGTGGGACTGATTCTCCCAACTCATTTCCTCAGCAACTCAGATTCAATCCAGAGCCCTAGCAGTAAAACTTGAGCTTATTTTTTGAAGCATATGATATATTTTAAAATTTGATGGCAAAATTCTAGCAGTGGTGCTAGAATACATCTGCATATGTGGAAACCATCTTTATTTTTTATTTATATAAATTTATTTTGTTTAATATATGTTTCCCATCTACTAGGTATGTTGCCCCATTAAAATAATGGAAAGTGTTTTTTATATAATATTTTATTTAGCTATAAGTTATTAAAATATAAGTTAAAATCATTGAGCAAATATTTGGGTATAAGACATAAAGGTGCAGAAAGTTCAAGCACAAACTCTAGCAAGTTTCATATTTCTAATTGTGATAGAAGCTGACATTTGGTAACACCACAAAGGAAGAGAAAAATGTGATTAAGTCATGTGTTTATTATAAAACACTTATTGATGATTGCCTTTCTAAAACACATAAGGTACACATAAAGCAGGAGCATCTACTCTGTCCCTAAAATGCTCACCCTCCAAAAGGAAGTGAAATAAATTAGGCTGTGTGAGTCTGCATTTCATTGCTATAATGAAATATCTGCTGGCTGCTTAATAAAGAAATCCATTTTGTTTCACAGTTCTGGAGGTGCAAGGACCAAACAGCATGGCCCGGGCTCCAGTGCGGGCTCCCAGTGCAGCGCAGCAGTGCGGGAGCGCATCTGTAACTGCCTCTTCTTTCTCCCCCTCCCTATAAAGCCCCCAGGTTTTAATTATGGAGGCCTAACAAATAATATGGAAAAACAACCAACAGCACTCACAAAAGCCTAAGATTAATAACTTAAGTATGGGATTTAAGAAATTAGAGGGTTTGGTGCTGTGGCACAGCAGGTTAAAGCCCTGGCCTGCAGGGCTGACATCCCATATGGTGATGCTGTGGCTTGAGACAGCAGTAGAAGATGGCCTAAGTCCTTGGGCCCCTGCACCCACGTGGGAGCCCGGGAAGAAGCTCCTGGCTCCTGGCTTCAGATCGACTCAGCTCTGGCCGGTGTGGCCATTTGGGGAGTGAATCAGCAGACAGAAGATCTCTCTCTCTCTCTCTCTCTCTGGCTCTGGCTCTACCTCTCTCTGTAACTCTTTCAAATAAATAAAATAAATCTTCTTAAAAAAGAAATTAGAAAAGGACAGGATAGCTGCAAAGAAAGCGGGGAGAATAAGATTAAAAACATACAAACAAAAATAATTTTGCCACTTGGGATGGATGCATCCTGTATCGGAGTCCCAGTTCGAGCCGCACCTTCTCTACTCCCAATTCAGCTTTCTGCCAATGCACATGGGAAGGCAGCAGATGATGGTCACGAGTGAGCCCAGTGGTGGCTGCAAAGGAAAGGTTCCTGGAGGGAACTAAGCTCGACTGCAGTGCCATGATGAGCGAGGGAAGCAGTCTTAGCGCTGGTGGAGAAAGTTTCAGCGGTCTGGACGACGACTAGACCCACCACACCGTTCCCTGATGCCGAGGCATAACCCAGAGCGAGACCCAACTCCCTGCATTCAATGAAGGCTGAGAGAAAGGCACGGAAGCTGCGGAGGAAGCACCAGGAGCTGGCAGCGATTGGTCCAGAGCTTTAGGAGCGGGGCCTCTCGGGTGCAAATGGTGAAGCCGCAGGTGCCACTGTAGAAGCTGCAGCGCGCTATCCGGAAGGTGGAGCTAAGGCGATGGGTGAAGGCTTTTCTCAATGTGGATTTTCTCAGTGTGGGCGCCACCGCCTTATGATGGAAGGAGCCATCTAGGAAGGTCAGAGATGAAAAGCCAGCGACTGGCTTCAGAGCTCCAAAGCACAGATGATTCTCTTGTTAGGGGCTGATGCAGCTGGCGGCTTTCAGCTGAAAATGCTCATCTGCCACGTGAAATGCCAGGGCCCTGAAGAATTACGCAAAATCTACTGTGCCCGTGTTTCGGAGACAGCCAGAGTCTGGTTGCCAGCGCGCAGGTTTCAGGGGAGTTTGCTGAATACGCTGTAACACTGTTGTGACCTGCTGCTCAGGAGAGAGAAGATTCCTTTCACTGGCAATGCGCCTGGTGCCTCAAGGGTGCTGATGGAGAAGTTCCGTGAAGTTAATGTTGTTTCCACGCCTGTGAATGCAACATCCACTCTGCCCTCATGGGTCAAGGACCCATTGTGACTTTCAAGATTTGTTATTTAAGTAATGCATTTTGTAAGGCTATAGCTACTGTAGGTAGCAATTCATCTGATGAATATGGGTAAAGTAATTCGAAAACCTGGAAAAGATTCACCATTTTAAAAAAAGTTTTATTTACTTTATTTGAAAGGGAGAGAGAGAGAGAGAGAGAGCAAGAGGTCTTCCATCCACTGGTTCACTCCGCAGGTGGCCACAACAGTCAGAGCTGGGCCGATCCGAAGACAGGAGCCGGGGGTGCAGGGACCCAAGGAGTTGGCATCTTCTGCTTTCCCAGGCCATAACAGAGACCTGGATTCAAAGTGGAGCACCCAGGACTCAAACCAGGGCCCATATGGGATGCCAGCACTGCAGGTGGTGGCTTTACCCGCTGTGCCACAGCACTGGTCCCAAGATTCACTATTCTTGATGCCAATTAAAAGAGAGGGGGTAAGAGGTCTGATAATTGGAAACACACACTTCAAGAGCCAGGGATGTGTTTCCCAGAAAAGGACCATGAAAGACACGGTCAGAAGTGGCAGTTTCCTTCCTCTTTCTGATCTTGGCTCCAGAGCCTCTAACCAAGCGTCTTCATTGGTTTGCCTATTACAGATTTCACGGCCCTCACCAGCTTGGAGACAATATGTGGCTGTGGACAGCTCTGCTCCTGTGGGGTGAGTTGGGCTCAGAGGGGGCTAGAAGGACATGGGCTCTGGTTATGCGGAATCAAGATTTTTTTTCTTCCTTTGGAATATTCAACCTGAACCATTGAATATGGAGACGGCTATATCTGCTTTTCATGGTTTAGTGGGACTTATTATACTGAAGGGATGGGGAAAAGAGCCTTGAACTAGCATTAAACCCAGAAGCCTCAAATCAAAACAAACCACCTGTGGGCTGTTTGGTTCCGCTGGTAACTGATTTTTGGAGGAGGGGCCAGAGAGTATTCCAGGCAGTAAGGCTGGTGTCTCTGATGCCACACTGATTCCATCTCCCTGGTTCTCCCTTCCTTGTCACCTGCTGCTGACTGGCTGACGTCTCTATTCTCTGGTCTCTTGCAGTTCCAGTTGGTGGGCAAGAGGGTGAGTGATTTCTTTTTTTTTTTTTTTTTAAGATTTATTTATTTATTTGAAAGTCAGAGTTACACAGAGAGAGGAGAAGCAGAGAGAGAGAGAGAGAGAGGTCTTCCATCCAAAGGTTCACTCCCCAATTGGCCACCCCAATTGGCTGTTATGGCCAGAACTGGATGATCCGAAGCCAGGAGCCAGGAGCCAGGAGCTTCTTCCGGGTCTCCCATGTGAGTAAAGGGGTCCAAGTACTTGGACCATCTTCCACTGCTTTCCCAGGCCATAGCAGAGTGCTGGACAGAAAGTGGAGCAGCTGGGTCTCGAACTGGCGTCCATATGGGATGCCGGCACTTCAGGCATAGGCTGCCCCACTGCGCTAGCCCCAAGGGTGAGTGATTTTTAACTCAACTTCTCCCATGCCACTTTCCCACTTCAAAACATAGATCCTGTTAATCTGCAGCAGAAAGAAGTAGGGAGCAGATAGAAGGGAGAAAGATGTATACATCGTGTAAAATCCCATATTCAGATGTTGGTTTGACAAAACCCTGAGTTTTAAGGTTTCTTGCTAATGCTTTCTGACTTCTGGAATAAATGCTTAAAAGCACCTGAATTGCAAAACAAACATGAAACACAGAAGTAGCTCTGCTGTGTTTTCCAACATCCTCCAAATCAGTCCTTTCATGAGCAAGCTTAGCTGGGTCCCCCCCCCCCCCCCGCCCCCGGGAGCGAGCCAGGCCGTACTGATGGCTCCAGGGGATGCCTGCACCTCTGTCTCCATGCAGAAGCTCACGCAGCTCTGGGCTGCGCCTGCAGGGTCAGGCAGGCACTAAGGGTAAGGAAAGTAACTCCAGGTGGCCCTACCTTAAAGCCCTGATTCATTGCTCACCAGCAGGGGTGCCTACAGGAACCCCAGAGCCCAACGTCCAGATTGAGGACTTAACAGCCCGAGCAGAGCTCTCTGCTGCAGTCAGACACCTTCGCCTGCTTCTCTAATGACCCTGAACACAGTCTCTCCTGTCACCCACAGAGTTGTGCCAGGGCCCAGAGTCTTAAGGACTCCCTTTGCTCCCTTGGCTGCTTTTGATTCTGTCTTCTCCCCAAGCAGACCCCACGAAGGCCATGATCACCCTGCAGCCTCCGTGGGTCGATGTGTTCCAAGAGGAAGCCGTGACCTTACAGTGTGAAGGGCCACGTCAGCCTGGGGACAGCTCTGCACAGTGGTTTCTCAACGGCACAGCCATTCGGACCCTGACCCCCAGGTACTACATCATTGGTGCCCAGGCCAATGATAGTGGTGAATACAGGTGCCAGACGGAGCTCTCAGCACCAAGTGAACCCGTGCAGCTGCAGGCGCACAGAGGTAAGCAAGGCCTGGAGCAGACGGCCTGGAAACCCCATGGTCATCCTTTATTTTCTCCTTGCTGGATGCAGATGTGTGTGTGTTGCTTTATCCGGGTCTGGGACTCAGCCCTGTGTGTAACATTAAATCAGTGCACTCAAACATCACAGCAGTCTTAGCCTGTGCTCCTGCAGCGCCTCAACTGGGTTGGATGTGAGTGGAGCAAGTGGAGCAAAACTCAGCCCTGCAATTTTATCATTATTCAAACATACACCTGAACAGAGTAAATAACAGTCCCGGCAAATGTGCAATGCTGAACAATGAACATCCCCTTCCCATCCCAAAATCCTGATCCTTCGGTTACCTGCCACAGAAACAAAACTGGGGAGCTTTTTGAAACACTGAGCTTGGCAGGATGCTCTATTTACTGCCCCACATCTTAGTTTCATCCCTTGGAAAGGAGGTCTGTGTCTGTCACTAGGAATGCAGTCTGAAATGTCTGCCAGATGAGAGGATTCACCAAGTTTTTGAAAAGTGGAATTTAAAGTTAATGCAGAGTGTCTGTGAGTTTTCCTGTCCTGTCCTATAGCTGTACCACAATTAGTGTCTTCCATTCTGCATTAGGAAACTTCCCATTCGTTTGCTTTTATAAACAATGCTGCAGCATCTTCCAGCAAGTTGTCTTAAGAAGCGTTCATAGTATTCTGATGTGGAATTGCTGGGACTAACAAACAGCAGCAGAAAGACAAACCCCATCACCCATTCCCATCTCTAAGTGGTTTCTACTTGTCAAGAGATGGAGAGTGCAACATTCTTCTTCAGGGCAGAAATGTTTCCTTGTTCAGCACAACACATCCCAGTGCACAATTAAGTTATTGAAAGGCAATGGCTCAAACTCCTCTGCTACTGATAATGGCAAAGTTCATCCACACTGGATGCAGAGTCACATTATGTAGACTTGGCTGCTTTAGACTCACAGGGCTGGGAATGCCTGGCCCACAGCCCATGTAAGGCCTGTGAGATCATTTGCTCTAAGTCATTTGCTCTGGCCCTGCCAAGGCAACCACTTGGGGAGCAAGTATTCAGTAAATCAATAGTAGGCTAATTTTCAAGTTGATAATTTTGTATGGCTCCTGAATGACATTATAAAAATCCACATGATCTTTAGCAGAAAATGGGTGCTCATGCCTTCAGATGTGTTTTAGCTAAGGAAATGCTGAGAATGTCTGCAGGGAGATAATGGGTTCCTCATGCATCGCTCGGGACTCTACCTTGATGAGATGGAGAGGGGAGGGGAGCCTACAGAGCTGTGCTAACAAGAGACTTCACATCATCTGAGCAGGAGCAGAAGCGTTTCAAAGTTTAAGTGCCAAGAAACAGGGGCCAGCACTGTGGCAAGCATCCCAAAGGGGCCACTCTACTTCCAATCCAACTCCCTGCTAATGTGCCTGAGAAAGCAGTGGAAGATGGCCCAAGTACTTGGGCCCCTGCACTCATGTAGGAGACCCAGAAGAAGCTCCTGGCTCCTGGCTTTGGTCTGGCCCAGCCATGGCCCTTATAGCCATTTGAGGAGTGAACCAGCAGATGGTTCACTATCTCTGTGTCCCTCCCTCTCTGTCTGTAACTCTGCCTTTCAAATAAAAAAAAAATCTAGTTTTTAAAAAAAAGAACAAGAAATCAACCAGAGCTTGGAGGAGGCCATTCTCTTTACCTCTGCACAGACTCTAGAACACTTAGCGTTGATGATTCACTAAGAATAATATCTTTTTAATATTATATTTAATGGGAATTTTGATTGAAGAACAACTTACATACAGCAAACCCTAAGTGTCCATCTCAGTGAATGTTCCCAAGTAAACAGCACCCTAATTAGGAAATACAGCATTTCTAAGACCTCCTTTTTGCCCGTTACTAGTCACAACCTCCAACAGTGGCTTCTAAATCATAGGGTTTTGCTCATTTGTGGACTGAATATAAATGGCTGGCTACTTTTTTCTTGAAAGTATGATTGTGAAATTAACACACATTGAGAACGTATGGTTCACTTGTTCTGGATACTGTTTAGCATTCTGTATTTTTCTATTCTACTGATGGACTCTTGGGCTGTTTCCATTTCTGGCCTCTTACAAATGGCACTGCTGGAAAATGTCTGCATTGTTCACCTGTGTTTTGGTGCACACACTTGCTGGAAGATGCAGAGGAGCCATGGTTGTTACTGTCAGCAGATACTGATACACAGTTTTTCAAAGTGGTCCTACCAGTTTACATGTCCACAGAACATACATTTTGATTGTTCTTCATCAAATCTAGATGTTTTCTGTATTTTTATTCATGCTATTCTGGTGATGTGCAATAGTATCACATTGCAGTCTTAATTTGCATTTCCCTCAAGACTAGGATATTGATTGACTGTTTCTTACACTCTTCTTGTAACCTATTTGGATATTCTCTTTTGTAATGTGCACGATAAGATCTTTCTGCCAATTTTTCTATCATCCGCCACTTTCTTATTGACTCATAGGAGTTTGTGGATGTGAATCCTTTTTCCCGTATTGTAAATATCTCCTCCCACTGTGTGGCATGCCTTTTACTATCATAAGGTGGTTTATTGGATTTTCAGTGAACAGAAGCTCTTAATTTTACTGCCATACAATACATCAGGGTTTTGTTGGTACTGTCGATGTTCTAATTTAAAAAAAGCTTTGCCCCAGTAATTCAGCAGGAAAGGATTCATTTGCAGCCACTCAGACTCCCACTCACTTCATTTAAATGTGTGAATACTGAGACCAAAAAAATACAGCTGGGGTGGACCTAATCACAAGGCTTAGAATGAGTTTTCCCTTCCTATTCCAAGGTCATTAAGATGAAGTGAATGGGTTTTGAGAAGCAATTTAGTTGGTAAATATCTACTGATAGCTACATCCCACAAGTTTTGATATGTAACACTCTGTTATCATTTCATATTCAATTTAAAATTTCCATTACAATCTTTCTACATCTCCCACCCCATCACAGATACTCATGAATTATGTTGAAGTTTTTTGGAGGGTGGTTTTTAAATTTGGTTTCTAATTTTATGGTTTATTGATAATTATAGCATTAGTTCTTTGGTATTTATTTGTGGCTTCACTAGAATACACTCCATTCTTATAACTGATGGATGCATTTGGAAAGTATATGAATTTTCTCTAAGGTACTACATTCCACAAACTCAAGTCTCTTCATGTGCCATTCAAATATTTTCTAGCATTGCTAGGGTTTTGACAGTGTCCGATGAAGACATGTTAAAATTTCTCAATATGCTTTTGCATTTACAAAGCAGAGATGTGTGTGTGTTGGAAGTGCAGGCAACTCTGGCTTGGGGGTGTGAATGAGGGAGGGGAGAGGGTTACTTATATTTAGAAGCACCATGGCAGGATCCAAAGCTGTAAATACCATGCTGCTCATAGCGCCACAGACCTGCCTGCCGTTCTTAGGTAAGATTTGGAGGGGAGAAAAGTCCTACTATCTCTTCTCCTTTGTCCCCAAATCACCCCATCTCCGTTTGGCCAAACCAACTGTGCCTGGAGAAGGAGGCATTCTTGGTTACATGCAGAGATTGCATCAAGAGGAAAGGGCCTTTTCAGTAGCAGCTTGTTTTTGCCCCCCATCACTGATCTGCAGGTGTTCCTGCCAGCCTGGTAGGGAATCCACATCTGGATGGTTGCCATTCTGTGTGTTTGCCTCAGAATGTCTGATCCTATTAACAACTGTGACAGGAGTTAGTGGATATTGTTTTTCTACTGCAGCATTCCAAATAACCAAAGACTTAGTAGCTTAAAACAGCATACGCCTCTTATGTCCCAGTTTCCATGGGGAGGAGGTGAGGCAAGGCTTGGCTTGGCTGTGGGTGCTCTGCTCAGGGTCTTCCATGGTTGCAATCAGGGAGCTGGCTGGGCTGTGCTCCTTTGGGCAACTCTTACAAAGGTCATTGGCTGAGTTCAGTTCCTTGTGGTTATAGGCCTGAGGTCTCGCTTCTTCCTTCTGTTGTTTTTTCTTTGTTGAATTTTTGACAGGCAGAGTGGACAGTGAGAGAGACAGAGAGAAAGGTCTTCCTTTGCCATTGGTTCACCCTCCAATGGCCGCCGCGGCCGGCGCACCGCGCTGATCCGATGGCAGGAGCCAGGTACTTATCCTGGTCTCCCATGGGGTGCAGGGCCCAAGTACTTGGGCCATGCTCCACTGCCCTAGCTGGCCACAGGAGAGAGCTGGCCTGGAAGAGGGGCAACCGGCTGTAAACTGGGGGCTGCTCTCAGCTCCAAGAGCCCTCTGCCATGTGGCCCTCTCAGGGACCCCCGACAACGTGAGAACTTACTTCTTCAGGCCAGCGGGAAAGCTTTCCACCCAATATGCTAGACAGAGTCTTTTTTTTTTTTTTTTTTTTTTTAAGTAATATTTTTTTTTTTTTTTTTTTTTTTTTTTTGACAGGCAGAGTGGACAGTGAGAGAGAGAGACAGAGAGAGAAAGGTCTTCCTTTGCCGCTGGTTCACCCTCCAATGGCCGCCACTGCAGCCGGCGCACCGCGCTGATCCTGGCAGGAGCCAGGATCCAGGTGCTTTTCCTGGTCTCCCATGGGGTGCAGGGCCCAAGCACCTGGGCCATCCTCCACTGCACTCCCTGGCCATAGCAGAGAGCTGGCCTGGAAGAGGGGCAACCGGGACAGAATCCGGCGCCCCAACCGGGACTAGAACCCGGTGTGCCGGCGCCGCAAGGTGGAGGATTAGCCTATTGAGCCACGGCGCCGGCTCTAGACAGAGTCTTCTTTAACAGCTGTTAAGAGGGACCCCATCTCCTTTGTCATATTCTGTTGTCTAGAAGCAAGTCATTGGTTCTACCAACACCCTAGGGGATGTACAAAGATGTGACTCTTTGGGGGTCATCTTAGAATTCTACCACATAACTTGTCTTGGTCCAAACAACTACTGAGATTTGGAAAGGTAAGGTAAGAACAGGCTGGGTGTTCAACTGCTGGTAATAACTACTTTTCTTCCTGCCAGATCTAAAGATATTTGCAGAATAAGATTAGGGTGGAGATTCAGCAGAGCTCTGAGTTTTCATGTGCAAGGCAGGAAAGATAAGAGCGCCCCTGGGATAAAGCGTTGGCCTCCTTGTACCTGCTCCTCCGTATTCCTACATTTTGGATCTATGTTTTTCAGATTGGCTGCTGCTCCAGGTCTCTGGCAGAGTCTTCACCGAAGGGGAACCTCTGACCATGAGGTGTCACGCGTGGAAGAACAAGATAGTGCACAAAGTGATTTTCTATCAAAACGGCAAAGCCTTTAAGTATTCTTTTCAGGATTCTGAACTCACCATTCCAAACACTAATGTGAGTCATGATGGCATTTATCACTGCTCGGCCATGGGAAGGTATCGCTACACATCAGCAGGAGTGTCTGTCACTGTGCAAGGTACGGGTCTGTGTAGTCAGAGCTGCAGTGGTCAGGCGCACAGGGACCACGGCAGAGCCTCCCGAATCCTCCAGAGAGGCGAACTGCCCTGCTGAAGGCCACGGAGACCAGTGGCCAGGCTGGAACCAAAACCGAGGCTCTGGGTCTGAGTCCATTGTTCTTTCCATTACATTACAGTGCCTCATCAATGATCCTGGGTCAACTCGGAGTCAGGGCACAGTCAAGATCCAGTTTGTCCTTTGTTATTTTAGTTGCAAGGAACAGACATCAAGCTAGCTGGGAGAATAATTAGAAAGTAATCCATTTTTTTGTGTCTTCTTCTATTTCTCTAATATTTTGTAATTTTCATCATAGAGATCTTTGACATCCTTGGTTAAATTTATTCCAAGGTACTTGATTATTTTTGTGGCTATTAAGAATGGGATTGATCTTAGAAGTTCTTTCTCAGCCATGGCATTGTCTGTGTATACAAAGGCTGTTGCTTTCTGTGCATTGATTCTGTATCCTGCTACTTTACCAAACTCTTTTATGAGTTCCAAAAGTCTCTTAGTTGAGTCTTTTGGATCCCCTATATATAGAATCATGTCATCTGCAAATAGGGATAGTTTGACTTCCTCCTTTCCCATTTTTATCCCTTTAATTTCTTTTTCTTACCTAATGGCTCTGGCTAAAACTTCTAGGACTATATTGAATAGCAATGGTGAGAGTGGGCATCCCTGTCTGGTGCCAGATTTCAATGGAAATGCCTCCAACTTTTCCCCATTCAATATAACGCTAGTGTGGGTTTGTTGTAAATTGCCTTAATTGTGTTGAGGAATGTTCCTTCTAAACCCAATTTGCTTAGAGTTTTCATCATGAAAGGGTGTTGAATATCCTACACAGAGGATCTCTGTGAGACCTCAGAGGAAAGAAAGGGTCATCAAAGAAGGAGACACTCTTCTCTGAAGGGAGAGGAGAACATCCACTTTGCTTATGGCCACGTCCAAATACTGACAGAGTCTATGGTCACAAAAGGCTTCCGTAGCCTTGGCAGCCGATGGCAAGAACCTCGCATGATCACTGACATCATAAAAAAAAAAAAAAAAAGAATGTTAACTGTTAAAGGGACAACAGTAGTCATGGTGCACTTGCTCCCCGTGTAGGACCTCCATCCCTATTGAATTGTAATATGAGAAGCGACTGCAAATTCTCTCCCCAAGCTGTTCTCTATATGTTGTGTGTGGGAGTGGGTGTAAATTGTTGAAGTCTATGATTAGCACAGAGTTGGTCCTCTGTATACAAAGTCATACTGAAAAGATCCATAATGAAGAAGGAGATGGGAGATGGAATGGGAGGTGGGATGGGAGCCGGGGGGGGGGGGGGGGGGGGGGTGTTGGGGGAAAGAACCACTGTATTCCTCTCAAGTTGTATCTATGTAAAAATGCATTCATTAAAAATTTTTAAAAATGTAAAAGAAAATAAAGATACCAGTAATATTGTAAAAAAAAAAAAAAAAAAAAAAAAAAAACAGAAAGTAATCCGATGTGTCGGATGAACGCTCCATTGAGGCGGAACCCAGGAAGACATGGGAAATGCTCACAGCCCCGCCTCTCTCTCAAGGATGATGTGGCCTCCGTGGTCCCGCTCACCTCTGTCCCCCTCATCTTTCTCTTTAGAGCTCTTTCAGGTTCCGGTGCTGAGGGCATCCTCCCCTCTGCCCCTCCAGGAGGGGAGCGCGGTGACGCTGAGCTGTGAGACAAAGCTGCTCCCGGACAGCCCTGCCTTGCGCCTTTACTTCTCCTTCTACGTGGGCAACAAGACCGTGCAGGCCAGGAACGTGTCCTCCCAATACCAGATACCACGTGCCGGAGGGGAGGACTCGGGCTCGTACTGGTGTGAGGCGGCCACGGAGGACGGAGGGGTGCGGAAGCGCAGCGTCGTGCTGGAGCTGGGGGTGCTCGGTGAGTGGGCGCGCCGGGGGCCTCGGGCGCTGGGGAGGGCTCCATCTTCTCCCGCGGGCCTGAGAGGAGTCCATGGCCCAGGCAGGAGGGGGAATCCGCCCCGGGAACGCCCACCAGTCCATTCCCAGCTCGATTCAGGACTTCACCCTTCTCACAGAATTCGGTACATCTCCTGTCTTTTATTTTCCTTCCTGCCCCCATTTCTTACCTTGCCATCGTCTTTCTCTTTTGCTTCTTCTCTTTTCTGTTCCCCTTCCCCATACTTCTCTGTTTCCCCTCTCTGCTCTCACTCACACTCTCCCCTGCTCCTTCCAGCCCCACCTCGCCATCAGCCGCCATCTCTGCCAGAGCAGACTGAGTTCCTCCCATGGATTGTCACAGATCCAGGGACCTGGACACCCTGGGCTGCAGACTTTGTTTGAGGCACTCAAAGTGTATACTGCTGGGAGCGCCACTGTGCGGGCTGCACATCACCTCCTGCCCAGGTGTCTCTTACTGGTGCCAAGGGCCTGTGAGCACCAGAACAAAGGGTTAATCTTTAACCCAAATTCGTTTCAGTCATTAAACAATATAGATGGCAGTCATCTCTGAAACCAGGGAGCAAGTCCCCTGCTGGCCCCTGCAGGTGAAGTTCTCATGGGCCCACCTGTAGCTCCCTCGGGCTCCCTGAGACCACCCGGGGCCCTCCCCCCTCCCCCGGTGGGCGGGCACATCAGAGCTTGGCCAACCTTCTCTTCCAAACAGAATGCGGCCAGACCCCTTCCCAATAGTAGCTCCTCTCTTTGTGTTTTCCTGTTGCAGGCTCCCAGCCACCGCTTCATGTCTGGTTTCACGTCCTTCCGTTTCTGGTAGTTGGGATATTATTTCTGTTTGGCACCATTCTCTGTTTGAAACTACGTAAAGAATGGAAAAGAAAGCAAGGGAGGACTTTAGAGATCCCCCTGTCTTCTGGCCCTGTGAAGAATATAACCTCCTACCTTCAAAACTACAGACATTTGGAGGAAGAGCTGAGGGGCCAGGAGCAAGAAGAGCTGGAAGAAAGGGCACCCCCGAAGCTCCAGGAGACGGAGCTTCCGTAGCCCTGGAGCCAGACTCCAGGCTCAAGCCCTGCCCCTCTGGGCTAGCGCTGCGCACAAGGCTGAAAACTGAATGACATTCGAACTGCAGCTCCCATGGCATAGAACTCTTAAACAAAGCAATAAGTAACCCGACTTTAACTGACATGAATTTGGAGGGCCTGTGCTGTGGCATAGTAGGTTAAGCCTCTGCCTGTGGTGCTAGCATCCCCATTTGAGTTCTGGCTGCTCCTCTTCCCATCCAGCTGTCTGCTGTGGCCTGGGAAAGCAGTAGAGGATGGCCCAAGGCCTTGGGCCCCTGCACCCATATGGGAGACACCTGAAAGAAGCTTCAGGATCCTGGCTTCCAGCGGATGGAAAACCTCTCTCTCTGCCTCTGCCTCTCTGTAACTCTGGTTTTCAGATACAAAAATCTTTTAAAAAAATTGGAAGTCAAGTCTAGCCTGATTATTAGTTTGGAAAATAGTATGCTTTTGAAGACAGGATAAAAATGTGAAGTCCACATGTGCATACATACAAGAGAATCAGACACAGAAAGAATGAGAGAGGAGTCACAGATAGGGGTGGAGGCAGAGAGAAAGGTTCCATCTGCTGTTTCGCTCCTCAAATGGCTGCAACAATGGCGTGGGGTTGATCCAAAGCTTCTTCTGGGTCTCCCATGCTGGTGCAGGGTCCCAAGCACTTGGGCCAGGTCTCGAAACACTGCCCATATGAGATGCCAGCACCGCAGGCAGGGGCTTAACCTACTACACCACAGCGCCAGCCCCAAAAATCAAATATAATAAGGAAAAACTGTATGAGGAGGCTTTCCTTCTTACCTTTTCCCTGAAATTCCCAAATCTCTCCCCAGACAGGCAGCACAAAGGCAGATCAGCTCAATCCAGTCCACAGCCCAGCTCACAGGAAGGGGCAGTCTCTCTCTCTGTTTCTAGGCTGTGGCTCCCTAGGCTCCCATCGGAGGGTCCTGAATTTCCACTGCTAGTTCCCCTCTTTCTCCACCACGCTAGTGAAAGCTTCACTGGTCACCCTTGCAGCATCTCACCTACACAGAGCTGACTTTGCAGGTGCCCGGAGGGCAAAACTTCACCCAGTGTCCAGCTCACTTATCTCCAGGATCTTAATTTTCAGGCCTGAATACCTGGGCAGTCCTACATGTCTCCCTCACTCTCGCCCTCGCCATTTCCACTAAGCTAATCAAAGTGCTACTGTTTTTTAGTAGTTGTCTCCTCCCCAACTTCCTAGTCACTCATCCTTTGCCAAGAACTAGCAAATGCCCCAAGGGTAAAGTCAAAGTCCTTTCAGTCTGCTGAACTTCTCACTTTGGATCTGGCCATACTGGTTTGAATTGCCTACGTAGCTTTCCAAACACTCCGCACAGAATTTCTTTGAACCAGAATTCATTGACTTGTCAGAGCGTGCACCAGCTTGCTACACATATTCTCACATAGCAGAAAGAGGAAATACTCTGGAAATTCCAGGTAAATTAATTTTCCTACTTTGATTTCTTAAAGGTCTAAGGAATTCAGATTCCTAGAGGTGGAAAATGGAACGGTGCTTGTGGTGAAGAGAAGAGAAGGTGGCATTGTTGTGTGATAGGTATGGGAGTTCACTCTGTGTGGTGGAGGGAGTGACGGTCCCACGGCAGCAGGAGCGTACTGAATGCCAGGGAGCTGTGCCTTTACTGTCTTCACAGCAAGCCAGACAGTGCATTTTATGGGGTGTGGATTTTAGCACAGTGTTTGAAACATTTAAAAACTATTAGGCCTACCGAACCCTCATAATTCAATGAAACAAAGAAGAGGAGGAGAAAGAACAAACCACAGGATTGTGCCTGCCCCAGGCCATGTCCCTCAACTACCAGTGGTCATGACCTTGGCTCTTCTTAATGGTGGAAGCAACAGTGACAGTGTCTTCATCACTTATACTTGGACTTAGATCAAGGAGAATTCCTGGAGTGACAAGTCAGGGTGATAGCCCATAAAACAGCCAGCAATCATGTTTTGCAAACAACATGAATTCGCAAAGCACATTCCTATCTGGCCGTATCCATGTAACCATTGCCAGTGATTACTTAACGCCCTCTTTACATTGATTTATTTAGGAAAAAATTACTTTAAAATTTAACTTGTATCACTATCAAAACAGGAATGGCTGACTAAATTGTTATAAACAGGATCTAGGTATATAATAACCTAAAATGTTCAAAAGTACCAGTGAGGGCCGGCGCCGCGGCTCACTAGGCTAATCCTCCACCTTGCGGCGCCGGCACACCGGGTTCTAGTCCTGGTCGGGGTGCCGGATTCTGTCCCGGTTGCCCCTCTTCCAGGCCAGCTCTCTGCTGTGGCCCAGGAGTGCAGTGGAGGATGGCCCAAGTACTTGGGCCCTGCACCCCATGGGAGACCAGGATAAGTACCCAGCTCCTGCCATCGGATCAGCACAGTGCACCGGCCATGGAGGCCATTGGAGGGTGAACCAATGGCAAAGGAAGACCTTTCTCTCTGTCTCTCTCTCTCACTGTCCACTCTGCCTGTCAAAAAAAAAAAAAAGTACCAGTGAAAAAATACAGAATTGTCAGAAAGTAGAACTGATTCAAGGTAAATATCGCCATTGTTAAAGAGGAAGAAAATAAAACAGAAGCAATTCAAAGTTTGAGTGACATGACAGAGTCAGGATATGGAAAAAGCAAGGCCCTGCCCATGTTTGTGGGATGCCAGACTGGGAGATCAGTGTCTCTGAGATTTAAAGATGTTGAATTACAGTGATTGACAACCTTGCAGTGGGCTCTCAAGGTGGAAGAAATGGACAGTGCATTTACCACCGAGTCCCTGCTCAGGTTTCCTTGGGGGTCTTCACTAGGGCACCCTAGGGGGTTCCACAACCTTTTATAGCAACCTAGAGCAACTCTGGGATTGGAGAGATCAATGCAAGAAACCCCGGTCTGTGGTTGGTTTACTGCTGTCCCGTGGCAGCCATGGTGTGGAACGGTTCTTTACCAGCTAAAGGAGGATGCTGAGACCTTCCTCTCAACTGCAGCTCACAGACCACCTAGATGGAGGTCAGGACAGACCCAGGAGCTGCGCCTGTTAGAAATGAACTAAATGAACTAAGATGAACCTAATGCTGAGCAGGAAATCAGACATTAGAAATCTTATCTGCGAACGACTGAGCTAGATGAATGAATAAGAGCAGTCTTTCCTAGTATGGGTGCCACTTGACGCTTTCTGACAACCGAGCATCGGAAACGTGGCTAGTGTGACTGAGGTACTGAATTTTTAGCTTTTTTTTTAATTTGTCTTGCTTGTTGATTTTTTCCCTCCTTTTATTGAGTTGATTTTTCTAAAATAAATTTTTTAATTTTAAGATTTGACAATTTTTAACATTTTGCCACACTCACTTCTTATGTAGATATTAATGCATATACATATGTATAATTTTTTCCTAAAAGAGATATATTAAGAGCCCAAAATATGAGATTCATGACAATGGTTATAATATGGGGAAAGAAGTGAAGCAATATTTATAACTATATACCAAATAATTTGACACCTACACAATTTTTATACTGCCTATATATTAACATCCACAATAAGTAGAAACGTGCAATATTTGTCTCTTTGGGTCTGGCTTACTTCACTTAGCCTAATGATCTCCAATTCCATCCATACTGTCAATGTCAGAATTTCATTCTTTTTTGTGGTTACATAATATTCCGCCATGTATGCATACCACCTTTTCTTTGTCCAGTCATCAGTTGATGAACATATAGCCTGATTCCATATCAATCCTACAGTGAATTGGGTTGCAATAAACATGGGACTGCAGATATCTCTTTCACATGCTGGTTTCACTTCCTTTGGATAGATTCCAGTTAGTGGGAATGGGTCACATGGTAGATCCATTTTTAGTTTTCTAAGGACTCTCCATACTGTTTTCCTTAATGGTTGCATGTAATTTGTATGTAATTTTTTATAACAGTTGTATATAGTCTGCATTCTCACAAACAGTGCATTAGGACACACTTTTCTCTACAACCTCGCCAGCATTTGTAATTTTTTTGATTTTTGGATCATAGCCATTCTGACTGGAGTGAAGTTATACCTCATTGTACTTTCTTTGCATTTTGCTGATGGCTAATGATCCTGAGCATTTTTAATATGCCTGTTGGCAATTTACATTTGATCTTTTGAGAAATGTTTGTTTGTATCATTTACCCATTTCTTTTTTTTTAAGATTTATTTATTTATTTTGAAAGTTGGAGCCACAGAGAGAAGGGGAGAAACAGAAAGAGATCTTCTATACACTGGTTCAATGGCTGCAATAGCTAATACTGGGCCAGGCCAAAGTCAGGAACCAGGAGCTCCATCCAGGTCTCCCATGTGGGTGGCAGGGGCCCATATGCTTGGGTCATCTGCTGCTGCTTTTCCCAGACCATCAGGAGTGAGCTGGATTGGAAGTGGAGCAGACAGGAACCAACACCCATGTGGGATGCTGGCATCACTGGCAGCGGCTTTACCCACTACCCCACAGCCAGCCTCTCCGTTGCCCATTTCTTAACTGGATTGTTTGTTTGTTGTTGTTTCTTGAACTTGTTATACATTCTGGATATTGATCCTTTTTCAGATGCGTAGTTTGCAAACATTTACTCTCATTCTGTCGGTTGTCTCTTCACTTGGTTGCTTCCTGTGCTGTGAGGCAGCTACTTGGTGTGGTGTAATCTCGTTTGTCTGGTTTTGCTTTTATTGCCTGTGCTTTTGAGGTCTTCTTGGAAAAAAAAAAAAAAAAGACTTTGCCTAGGCCAATGTCTTGCAGCATTTCCTCTGTGTTTTCTCTAGTAGTTTGTTACTTATACTTAATTTCAACTAATTTAGACTTAAATAGTCATATATGCCTAATAGATATGGTATAGCACGGCACAGGTTAGAAAAAAATCACCTTTATATTATAAAATCATGTTTTAGTTCTGTATAGCAACAAAAAGATTTACTAAGATGCCACATTTAATAGCCAAACTCAGTGGCTTTCCCCACCTGCCTGGCTGCAGCTGAGTGCCGGTTCATGCTCAGGGGCCGCCTCCCTTGCAGCCTTTCCTTCCTAATCACATCTTCATGCCTTCACCAGTGGACACCCCAGCCAGTCCCACTCTGCGGCGGTGGACTCCCACCTGCTTGGGCTGGTCACAGAGCCCTGTGCAGGTGGTGCTTTCTCCTCTCCTTCCAAGACTGACTGGCCCCGCTGTGACACAGTGTTAGCTCAAGCATGATGGGCTGCGCATGCCGGGAGCACCCATGTTTCTGAAGCAGATTGGGACAGAGGTGGAAATCCAGGCTGTGACTGGTGGGAGGCCACATAATGCTATGCAGTATTTAGGTGGCTTAGGTGACATAAGAGTAAGGCAATCGTGTGGGCAATGGTGGGTCACTGACAGAATTTGTGTCCCATCCCCAGGACACCAAATTTGATGTCCAGCAAGGCCATTTAACTGAATATTGCACAACTAGTTTCTTGGTTGTACAGATTAGACTACAGAATAGGGATGGAAGTCACAGACATAAGCACCTCAAAGGACAGAGAAGACAAATCATTGAGGGGAGGATTTTTGTGGTGGTGATGAGGCCTAGACCGTCAGCAGGAGCCGAATGGCAGAGCCCAGGGAAGCGCTGGGCCCTCAGGTCCATTAGCTCTGCTGCTCATTTCTCCTTCAGCCCCCATGTGCCTTCTGAGAGTTGAAGAAGATTCTGGAGCAAGGCAGAAGAACTGTAGGTCTCCCAGGTGTCTCAGAGCAGGGCGTGAGGAGCAAGGCCCCCAGTGCCCCCAATGCACAAGCAAAAAGGTTTAGATGCAGTATGAATTCCAACGAGTGTGTAAATCATTTGCTGATGGGAACTGGCTCTGCTTAAGAATAAGATGGAGCCGTCTTCCAGTGGGTCAGGGGCTAAATTTTCCATGGAAGTGTCTCCTTCCCAGACTAAATTCTCACATTGGCTACAGTGTGGATACAGAGGTGAATATGAGAATTACATTTAAATACTAGTATTAAATGAGAGACTTTGCATGCATTCCTTCACACAAATATACTCATAAATAAAAAGAGCTCAGTCATTAGAATATGGTCAAATAAGCATAAAGCCAAAAGTATGAGGACACCAAAAATGACACAGTAAATATTGTGAGCCTACTTCTTGTTTTGGAAGGTCGCTCATTATTGATTGAAGTTCTTTCATATGCTACTAGGTACATATAGTATAGATAATCTACATACACAGCAGATTACCTATGTCTCCATACATGAGCTTTGGTAGATGGTGTCCTTTAAGAGATTGTTCCATTTCATCTAAGTTATCAACATTGTGGGCATACAGTTTTTCATAAAATACCTTTCTCTTAATGTCCATGGGTTCCAAAATGATGGTTCCTCTTCCATTTCTTATTATTAGCATTTTTGCCCCCCCCCCCGCCGTGTGTGTGTGTGTGTGTGTGTGTGTGTGTGTGAGAGAGAGAGAGAGACTTTTTGGTGTTATGCTATTTAGAGGAGTTGACCGTAGAGAAACTCAACCACAAATCGACTAAGACACAGAAGGGTTTATTTAGGTTAATTTAGAGCTGCACCATGGGAAAGCACACTGTTCAAGCCCTCTTGAATCTGGGCTTCAAGGTCTTGCAGGTTGTGGAAAGCACCTAAAGGCAAAGACTGCAAGTGCGGTTTGCCAAGAATTTAGACTGGTGCACGAGGCCAGCACTCGCTCTGGTAAGCGGTTGCATAACTGAGGGATGCCTGAAAAGCAGCACTCAGTCGGGAAGGGGGAAAGGGACAAGGACAAAAATCTCCCTGGGCTGCTCCCTGGGCTGAGGGACAGAGGGCTGCTGATAGGACAGGAATGTTCTGCCTCAGTGAAAACTGTAGCTCCCAGCACATAGCTAACAGCAGGTAGAGTGTGGGGCCTGGCAGGGCTCAGTGTATGCTGGGAAGGAAAAAACATCTCATGGGGTCAAACCCTCTCAGATGTGTGCATGGCTGAATAAGGTCCCCACGGCCTGTAGCCTGAAGTTCTGTGGGTGTCTCAGTCTGCTTTTCTTTTGATCTTTAATGGTTTTCCAAGCAGCCCTCAATTCTATTGATCTTGACAAAAACCACTTTATTTTGTTGATTTTCTCTTTCCTATTTTCAGCTTCATTGATTTCTTCTCTGATTTTTATTGTTTCTTGCCTTCTGCTTACCAGGATTAATTTGCTTTCTTTTTCCTGTTTCCTACGGTGATTTTATTGTGCATCCTAGCATAGGCCTGACCAGGAGAGTAAGTTTCAATAGCACTTTGGCAAACCTTAGTATATCAAGTAGCTTTTTAACAACTAACTTTTTAATGAATCTTATTCAGTTACACCAAACATAAAATACACTAAATATGCAGTAAAATAAATGACTTTACTGGTAGAAACCCACTTGAATAACCAACTCCCAGACTGAAATGTAGGATATTTTCCATAGCCCAGGAAGCCTCCTCTCAAAGCAATGGTCTACACAGGCAGCTTTTCTATTCCTGAAACTTACCATCATAGGTTAGTTTGGCTTGTTCTTTGGTTTCAAATAAGTGGAATCTAAACGTCGAGTATCAAGGACTTTTTCTTTTTTGGTTAGGAGGAACACAGTCTCATTGCTTTCATTCAAAGTTCTCAAAATTATGTCCATGCAGTTCATCTATTTTTAATTGGTATAATTGTATTGAACATATTTATTCTACTACTGCTGAACACTGGAATCACTTCCAGATTAAAGCCATTAAAATGTTTATTAATAATGAATGTACATACTCAGTGCAATAGTTCTTACACATATACAAACTGCATACACACATTTAATTTTGGAAGTGATTACTACTGTCTCCATACCACTGCAGATAGAGCCTCCTCTGAATTTGTAGAGGCCTAATTTGTACTTTAGAGGAAGAGCAATCCCATCAATTAGTTCTCTCAGGAAACAGCTTATACTGACACAATGTAAGAATTCCTTTAAGTAGGCAGTCTAAAGGAAGTAATTGTATAAAGTGACATCACTTAAAGTGGAGAAGAGGCGATGCATTGAAATACTTACTAGTGAGGGCAGTAAGAGGAAATGATTAAGCGTGATTAGGTGTCTGGAAAGCTCTACGATGTCATTTTCAGCTCAGCAGGACCTTCTCAGAATATATTACTTCCTTACTTGTTCTGGGAATCATTTAAAAGATGACTAGATCTTGAGTTAAATACTTTTCCGAGGCTTTCATTTTATTCTCTGGAATACAGACAGGATGCTAATTAAGTGCCTTATTGCAATGACATAAATATTTTCCCCTCCTTCTTCAACCTGATTAAAGCAGTTATAAAAGTATTAAATCACTCAAGAATTGCAGCATAGCGGGACAGTAGAGCACTGGATTCCAGAAATTCAGTTTGTTTTCCCGGTGGTGAAAGGAGCCAAGAGCCACCATAAAAAAATGGGGCTCCTGAGACAAACCGTTCCAGAGACGGCCTTGGGAAATGGGGAGTAAACCGGTTCACAGAGAAAGCAGTCAGCTATAACCAGAGATACACAGAACACCTGCCTTGTAGATAAGCCCCTTCCCTACGCTTGCTCAAGGTTAACAAAGAAAGCTGCAAGGCACGTAGCAACCTATTCCTCTCTCCTAGAGACCCCCTCCCCTAATGTATCCCTTTGACCTAGTACTTTTCCACCGACATTACCACTTTTAGACTGCCATACAAGGCCCGCTACTGAAAATTATCCAATGAACTTACGCCAGCCTATAATATGTTAATTTTGTGGTTTTGCCCTTTAAAAGCTGTGTGAGATAGCTGCTCGGGGCTCCTCTCGCTTGCTTGCTGCTTGCAGCAGTAGAGGGCCCATTTGTACAAATGAAATAAAATTACCTCCTGTTCTATTGCATCGTCTGGTCCGGAGTCTGTGTTTCTGGGGTCGTCACAAGAGGACACCACTTTTGGGGTCCTACAGGTGGTAGAGCAGTTTGTTGGAATCGGAGTTCTGAAGGGAGACTCAGTATCTCTGCAGACGGTCCTTGTACAGACACCTGTGCAATAATCACAGCTCTTGCCACCTCCTGTGCCCAGAGGATCTTAGCTGGTCATTTTAGACAAGATCTGAGCCACTTCTCCCCACAGCAGACTCAAACACCAGGAAATACCAAAAACCTCAGGACAAACAAATAGCCATCCTAAAGGACTCACACATTAGAAAGCTGGCATCCACCACCTAACAGAGAACAGGTCCCTGTTAACCACTTCAACAGAGACCATCTCCAGGTGTTCATTTCATGATGTCAGAACCAGAATTCCACACTGACACCACTGATGGGAGAAAATAACTGACAAGATCCCAAAGAGAGATTTAAACAAACCTGTCTAGGAACTACACTTAGTATGTACATGTCAAAGAACTCCATTTCTGCTTATGAGATTCAACAGATGAACTGAGGGCACGTGAGCCCATAGCCCTACAGATCCAGTTCAGCATGGATCCTTAGCTCAGGTGGACGACTGTTGGGCATTGCCTACAAAATGGTGCCTGGCGGATGTTCTAGGGGCATGTCTGCAGCTGCTGCGGTTAAGCTACCTAAGATCAGACCACCGGCAGGGATAGGTCCGCTTTAGTTCCGGACACGTGGACAGTGTGTCATCCCTATACTTTGCTTGAGGTGCCCCAGTGCGTGCTCCACCCACGCCTGCATGACCTTTTCACTGATTGGCTCCCCTACTGCGCATGTCTTTTGTAAGCTTTATAAGCCTGCACACTTCTTCAATAAAACGGTTCTTGCTTCAACAGAACTTACGGGTGCTTGTGGTGTGTTCATCACCCGTCGACCTTACCTCTCCCGTTCGCCTTCTTGGGGAGTGTCTGTAGTGGCCCCTGCTGGTCAGGAGCCAGCCTAGGGCTTGAGACCCCTATAGATGACTTTTTGTTGAGAGAGCAAAAAGCAAGCAAGCAACAAACAAATCTCTTCAAGGAAAAATATAGACATGATGTGTCAATTTGGCTAGACCTCAGTACCAAGATTTGGGTAAATGTTATTATGAATACTAAATGTTTCTGCAAAGGTATTTTGAAAATGAGATCACGTTAAAATCAGTATGGTGGCGCTGTGGCTCAATAGCCTAATCCTCTGCCTGCAGCACCAGCACACCGGGTTTTAGTCCCAGTCGGGGCGCCGGATTCTGTCCCGGTTGCTCCTCTTCCAGTCCAGCTCTCTGCTATGGCCCGGGAGTGCAGTGGAGGATGGCCCAAGTGTTTGGGCCCTGCACCCACATGGGAGACCAGGGGAAGCACCTGGCTCCTGGCTTTGGATCAGTGCGGTGTGCCGGCCGCAGTGGCCATTGGGGGGGGCGGGGTGAACCAACAGAAAAAGGAAGACCTTTCTCTCTGTCTCTCTCTCTCTCTCTCACTGTCCACTCTGCCTGTCTAAATAAATCAGTATGCTTTTTGTAAAGCAGAGTGCCCTCCACAAAATGAATGGATCTCGAGCAATTACTTGAAGGCCTGGATAGAAGACTGACTTTCCCAGAGGAAGAGGGGATTCTGTGAACAGACCACCTGTGGACTTGAAATGCATTTCTCCCCTGCATCTCCACCCTGATCACCTCTCTTGCACAGTGTGTGCTTGCCAAGCCTCCACGGTCGTGGAAGCCAATTGCTTAACTATCTTTAGATTGCTAGATGTAGGTCTGTAGATTGCTGGTGCTGTTTCTTTGTAGAACCGTGGCTAATACAGACAGTGCACTAATTCACCCTTGCATTTATAGAGAAAAGAGAGGAAAAGCCAATGAAGTTAGTTCTCTCTTGCCTAGGGTGAGCAGCTTGGCACAAAGCTAAGAAAGAGGCCACTATGGCTAGCCTCCTCTGACCTGGCTGACCAGGTCAGCACAGAAATCAATTACAAATATATAAAATATTGGAAGTTCAGCCTAGGAGCAGATGAGGAGGTGCCCTGGTACTAACCACTATAGGAGAGATCATAAAAAAATTTGTGGGAAAAGCATATTATGAAAATGCTATGCATGAATTTCAAAACCCTTTCCACCATAAGAAACTCATCTTTTCATTCTATTTTCCATGGATTTTTGAAGTTAACTTGGATCATCCATCACACCTCCCCCAAATAGAGTCAGGAAGGTAGCACTCCCTTCCATAGAATGCCACAGATGCATGTGTAGAGTTAGTTTTGCTAGCAAGCATGTAAAGAAAAGGACTCTCTGCATTGGAAAAGAAAATTGGAATATTAATTGGCAACCACCCCCCAGGGAGGGCAAATTTACAGAGTTTATTACTTAACTAAAAAAAATTCTATAACCAGTATGACATAGCAATTATACTTCCAGTATACTACCCTATATAATTCTTGTATTCAACAATGACAACTAGAGCATTCTTTGTGATCATAAAATCTTGGAAACAAGTGAATTTCAAAACAATACGTAAAGGGTTAGCTAATGGTACAAACAAAAGAAGAAATGCCTTCGTTGAAAATCATGCAGGGGCTTGTTGTCTCGTGCCTCTGGGCGTGCAGCCTTCTGGCCACCCCTCTGCTTTCCTGCCCATGCTCGGCTACCTGTGGCTGAACCTAATTCCATGTGGCTCCCAGCCTGATCTCTGCCTGGTCCCCACAACCTAAGGGACATCTCCCTTTCATCATCTTCCTGAGAAATATGCACTGACTGAAGAGGAGGTAGAAAAGACATGGATGCACTGTTTGATCAGAATCAGCAGCAAGGTTCAAACTGATGTCACACACCTTGCTGGACTCATGGATGCATGTGAGATGGAGCAAACATCAGCATCAAGAAGACAGGTTTCTCATGAAAGATCAATGGAGTAATCAAGAATTTCCAGAACTCTGAAAAATAACACATTTGTGAAACTGCTAATGGAGATCAAACAAGAGAAAAAAAAAAAAAAAAACTTTGTGCCTAGTGCCTGTCAGAATTCTACAGAACAATTCCTAGTGAGATAATGTTGGCCTGATGCTTGGAGATGATGGCTCTCACCCGCAGAGGTGATTAAGGTATTATTAGTGATGGACTCCAGCATGGGACCAGATAAGATCCAATAATGGACCAATTTACTCCTGGCAACAGGGAGCAAAGAGGGCCTACCTGCAGAGTGACTGATCAACTTTGTTTGCTAGGAAAAAGGTAACAAAGGGGGAATATAGGAGTTAAAGTGGAGTCAAGCTGAAACTAAAACGAAACTTTAGAAGGAAAAGCATTGCCACCAGCTACCTGTATCCAAAAGCTTAAACTCATGGCCTTGCCCACATCTTATGTCCTTGAAGAAGTGAAATAGTGTCAATATGTTGCTGCTTTCATTATCACTGTGAAATGATGGTGTACCTGCAAGATAAATCATGCAGAAATGACCTGTGTCAAATTCACCTTTCCCAAGGAGCTGGTGACTGGTTTTCAAATTCATTTTCCTGGATACCATCTGGGACCAGGTCTATTTTTACAAGGAATTTTAAAATTAGGACTAATATATTAATAATATTATTGGGAATTAGGGTTTAAAGTCATTATGTTACAGAAACTTTGCAAATGAACATATAAGCTAGCTGCTGAACAAATGCCTTTGCCTTTGGGCAGCAAGCAGCAAGGGCCTGATTATTTGAGAACTATCACTGAGATTTGAAAGACTGCTATGCTCTCATTTGCAAAAGATTACATATTCTCTTTTCTTCACTCCCCCTCACCAAAAGAAAATAATGTAGGGAATAACCATAATGATGATCTTGAGTCTATGGATTCCATTACCCATCAAGCAATTACTGAGCCAAGTACCTTATTATGGTTGAAAAATTTTGAGGTACAAAAAATGTATTACTAACCTAAGGCCACAGAAGAAAAGAAACAAGATCCTGCCCTACAGCCATGCTCTTTGGCACAGGTGATGTCAGGTTGTCACTCATCTCCCCCAACCACATGATCTTCTAATGGATGGAAGGGTGAGAAGTACCCACAGGATGACAAGAGGGTAGGTGAAGTAGTTGCCTTAATGAAGGCTAATCTACAGGAACAACCAGAGAAGTCATCCAAAGGCTAGCACATCCCTGGGTGGGCTCCAACCACCAACTTTCCAGTTAATAGCTGAACGCGCTAACTGATTGGGCCACAGAGACACACATGAACATCTCTGGCTCTAACTGAATGCTGGCCAGGATCACTCCACTTTTTCAATATGACTAAATAAGTTGAAAAGACTCAGAGGAAAACTGAAGCCATTAGAGCAAGGATTGAAGCTGAGATGTTTAAAACTCATGCATTAGGTGACACAAACCGGAAGAGCAGCCAATGGCCTTTGCCCCCACCTTACCCCTTACCTGCCTCAGAAGCTATAGCTCTGGGGACACTGGTCCTCGGCTCCATGGGACAAGATGTTCTCAGGAGGCTCAGTTAGGACTTGCTGAATTAATACATTTGAGAGACTGAGTATGCCAACAGGCAATGGGCAGGTGATCTCAACAAATACCAGCCTCATTCACAACCTACAAGCCAGGATTGTAGGAAGTCAGACTGTTGTCTCCAAGAAGCTGAAAAAGAACTTCTGTAGCAGTTGGCTCCGAATGTGGCCAGAACTTGCTAAGTAACTGACAGCCTCTCCGATGTGTGTCCTCACTTGCAACTTAGGACCAGAGAAAGCCAAATATGCACACCTAGTCAATGACTCAGGATGCCCACCCGAGGGAGCGCACCTGCGGCTTCCCCTTGCCAAGGGTCCCCATCAAAGGGATACTGGAAGCCGTCCCTTGGTTTCCACTCTAAAGCTTTCCAGCTTCTCTTGCCTGCCTTGGGGTCTGCCAAAGTCCACACGCAAGTCTGGCTGGCTCCCTAGCTCTAGCAATTTCTGAATAAGGAGCCTTTCCTTGTCTCCTTAGATTGCTCTTCCTTTATTGCCATGCAGACAGTTAGCTTTTAGCTTTGAAGAATTTTGAGAGTGGAAAATGAAAAGTTTTGCAAGGGGAGAAATCCTTTCCTAAAAGGCTTTATTCTGCTCCATTGATTTTTTTTTTTTTAAATTTTTTGACAGGCAGAATGGATAGTGAGAGAGAGAGAGACAGAGAGAAAGGTCTTCCTTTGCCGTTGGTTCACCCTCCAATGGCTGCTGCAGCTGGCGCACCGCGCTGATCCGATGGCAGGAGCCAGGTGCTTCTCCTGGTCTCCCATGGGGTGCAGGGCCCAAGCACCTGGGCCATCCTCCACTGCACTCCCTGGCCACAGCAAAGAGCTGGCCTGGAAGAGGGGCAACCAGGACAGAATCCGGTGCCACGACTGGGACTAGAACCTGGTGTGCCGGTGCCGCAGCTCACTAGGCTAATCCTCCGTCTTGCGGCGCCGGCATTGATTTCTAAGCCTGTGATGTGCTCTGGGGCAGACAGGAGGGAGCCTGCAGTGCTGCTCGAACCCCAGGTACCCAACTGGGATGAGATCCGAGGGGTCCACTGGGTCCGTGGATGGGAGCAGTAACTGGAACCCCCAAAAGGAAACTGTAAGGAGGAGGAAAAGAGCATGGAAAGCTGGGACAAGGATAAGCCCTCCTGGGAGACTTACGGAGAGACACAGGCCACATTCTTATTGAAGAAAATTAAAAAAAAAAAAAAAAAAAGGACATGAAAAGGAGAAAAACACAAGAGCCTGTAACTATGCAAGAACAAAACAAGAAAATACTGTGGGTGTCTCCACGCCAAAAACATTAAAGGAAGCACAGTGGCTGTGAGCAGGCTCATGGGGCCCATGATCCCTTTTGGTTGGTGCTCACAGTTTGGGCTGCAACAACACCGTCCAAATCTGAGCTGTGCCACTGTCTGGGTTCTTTCTGGGTTAAGAGTTGCTGTAAGTTGGATTTTCTCTTTTTTCAGTTCTTGAACTCTCTATGCCCCGCGTTTGTGGCCAGAGAGCAGGATTTACCACGACTGCGTATGATATGGTCATATGTCAAAGAACCCCTCCCCCGCTGAGTGCATAACCTACTGCCCAGTCTGAGCATGCTCAGGAAGTATCCTCAAATGCAAAGCGCCCACCCTCCGGGGACTTTGCCTGCCTCTTGATCTTATAATGGTAAGGTCATCATGGTTTTTCTGGTTGAGATATTTCAGTTGTCAGTGAGACACTTTTAGACACAGCAACAGCACTCTTTTTATGAGTTCACATTCAGCAGGGTGTTGTGAAACAGCAGAACCTAATGCTGAAAAACCTAATATGAGGAAACCTTTATTCTATGCCATCCCCCACTTCACCTCAGTGTTTATGCTACTAGTTCGTTATCAAAGGGTAATTCAATAAAATGCAAAGATCTTAAGTATACAGCTGGATGGATTCTGGCAAATGGAACCAGCACCTAGATGTAATAAATGTGAGAACAAGTTCATCACTCCAGGAAGGTCAGTCAGCCCTTCCAGTCAATGCCGTTCGCCTGCCCTTTACTTCAGCAGACTTTGCTTTCTATCATCGCCCTCACATCAATGTCACGTTTGCAAGTTCATATAAACAAATACATTTTTTTGTATCTTTCATTTTGTGCAACATACAGTTTTTGAGGTGCCTCCATGTCATGCCTTGTCTTCTGTTGGTGCTATTGATGGTGTTATTCCGGATGTGAACATAGCACCACGGATGGACAATTGGGTTATTCCTACTCTTGGCTGTGAACTTTGTTGTGAACCTCTGTGATGCCAGAGCCGCAGGTGGATGTTTAAGCATCCGATTCTTTTTATTTTTTTAATTACCAGTTGCCCCCTTGGGCTTCCTAGAAAGCACGGGGAAAGCTCCAGCCCAGCAAGGTCAAGCGCTGCTCAGCCCCCGGGGAGCAGGACCTGCCTCCTCGTGGCCGCGGCGCCGGAGGACGGTTGCCCTTCCCTTACTGGTCGCTCCCTGCCCGGGCGTCCCCCGCGCTCCCACTGGCCCCGGACGTTCCTGAGGGCGCGGGGGACCCAGGGGAGCCTCGAGCGCTGCGCGCGCCGGGAGGGGCCACAAATCCCGGCCTGTGGTCCGCGCACCTGCAGAGCCACAGCCAAGTGCAGCGCGCGCCCCAGCCCTGATGCCGCGACCACGGGGCCCAGATGCCAAGAACTGAGCGAGCTGTAGGTCCGAGTTGAACCTATCTCACACCTCTAGCAGCAGAATCGCTCGCCAAAATGCAGAGACCCAAACCGAGAGGGATTGTGCCCCTCGAAGTCTGCAACTAACCAAGGAGGAAACGCGATTTCCTAACTGAAGGGATGTGGGTTGTGCAGGAGCGGGGTCGAGTTATTGGTGTGAACATACACGCAGTCTCCAAAAAGTTCATGGAAAATTCGTGTTGTAAAAATGCATGGATTTCTGAGCTTTGTGGTTTTTGCAACGAAAACACTTTTAACTTTACTTTTCCACGAAGCTTTTGAAGCGTCCTCGTATAGAATGATGCAGTTGTCGTCGACTACGGCGCCCGCTGCTCCCCGCGCCGCCTCTTGGCCAAGGTGCAGCTGCAGGCGCTCGCTCGCTCCGGAACTTGCAGCCTCCCGGAGCTCCGCCGCCTAGGCGGGGGCTGGGGCGCCCAGTGGGTGGCGTGGGTGCTTCCAATTTGGAGAAAGCAGGGAGGGGACGGACTTGTGAGTAATTTCTCGGAGTGGTGAGAGAAGAAACCGCAGAAGAAAAAGTTGATGAAAATTTCAGTTAGAGAATGAGGAGTTTATCCTACGGGGTAGATAAAGATAAAGCAATTCTCTACAGTTCTCTGGTAGTCTAGTGGTTGGGATTTGGTGTTCTCACCACTGCAGCCTGGGTTCGATTCCTGGTCAGGGAAGTCTTTGTTTGCTGCTAAGGGTATGTTTTTCTCCGTGTGCTCCTTATCTATCAACTAGACTCCAGTTGGGAAATGGGATACCAGCGTGGCAGGCTGAGCCTGCTAGGCCACAGCGCTGGTCCCCAGTGGAGGTTTTTAAAAACCACAGAGGGGCTGTTTAAATCCTTTTAATTTTCATTTCGGTGGGCACTTCTTTTTGACCAGCACATTAGTGGAGGGAATCTTCTACACTGCACCATCAATCTCTCTACAACTTTTTGTCTCTCTTAAGGAAATTAATAATGTAATAAATAACAAAAAATATGACATTTCAAATCAAATACCATTCACACTGATTTCTTTTAAAGCAAAGGGCCAAACTTTGTGCATGCAGTGCCAGTCTGTCATGCAGTGGTGGCTTCTGTACCAGATATACAGTCCTTGACACCTTAAAAGACATAACTTTTTTTTGCTTTGCTTTGCTTTGCTTTTTGTCCACCAGAGGATAAAAAGGGAGTGAGCACTGTGAATTCATCAAACACAGTCCTAAGAACGCTGCTCGGCAAGCGAGCTGCTGGGCTTGGTGAGGTTTATCCGTCTCCTCCTAGCAGAGATCTGAGAAACGGCAGTCAGAGCTCGTGAGAGTTCAGATTCCACCACGGTTTGTACAGTGAACCTTAGGCATCACAGGCTGTAGGCACTCATTCCAGATTTCAACCCTCCATTGTGGCAAATGTTAAGGGAATTGGCCCCTTTATATGTGACAATGCCCTGAACCCAGGATCCCTTCTGATACCTCAAGCGTTTAACTCTTCAGTTGCAATCACACATTTCCCAGCTACACATTAAATGGGCTCAGAGGCCTCACTCGTGGCCTAAACCCTTTCCCACCAGTTGTAGCCAGGCTCTGCCATTTGACGTCACTCTGTCTCACACAGAGCGGACACAGGCCAGGGAGCTTAACGTGCCCTTGAGGAGTGGCAGCATCAGCTGCTGGGTGGTCATTTGATGGCCTTTACTGGGAGCCCAGGTTGGGCAGGGGTGTGTGGGCAGGCATGGGGTCAGCTGGAGCAGCCCAGGGGCTTCTTTCCTTAAAGTGCCTGAGTTCTGATGAGAGAAAGGGGAGGGGTGGAGACCCAAACTGGGGGCCGCTCAGCAAGGAGCACAGCTGTACAACTGCCCTTGGCTTCAAGAGGCCAGCTGTTGCTGTGGATTTGTTCTGAGAGGAGGAGCACAGTGGGGGCAAGAGGGGCAGAGTCACCACACAAACCCCAGGAACTGGGTGAAAACAGGCCACAGGCAAGCAGCTTGCAGACTCATTCATTTCATTTGGTACAGAAGCTTACATAACCAAGACAGCCAATCCGGTCAAGGGGAGGTTTACGCCCTAACCAATCATAGCCTGTTGCCAGGCAGTTTCCAAAGCCATCCAATCACAGCCTGTTGCCAGGCAGGCTCCGTTGCCAGCAGCCATCTTGGCATGGCCTTCTCATTCCACCACAGCCAGCTACTCAGTTTCAACCAAATTTTAGCAACTGCTAAAGCACCATTGTCTGATTTCAATCCTCATGTGTCACCTTTTATCCTCCAAGTGTGCAGGAGGACAATAAAACCCCTACTCCCTGCACCCTCCACCACTGAGGGGTGACCATATGGAACCGAACCCTGGAAACCTTTGTCATGTCTCCTAACCTGACCCACACAGTCCCTCGAGTCTCTTCTCTAGGAAGGAATGGTGATGGGACTGCCCTGACACTCAGCACCAAATTCATCCATGGGTCAGGGAATCCCTAAGCCACAGTACAACACTAAGTGCGCCTGTCACACTTCCATGGCCTTGATGGGCAAGGAGCACCAAGGCACTGAGACAGTTCATTACTCATACACATGGCATAAACAAGATGAGCGTGTGGTCAGCTCCCCACACCGTAATCCCACAGCAGAACACCAAACTAGAGGTACCAGATGACCGAGTGGCACAAGTGTTGGGTTGTCCTGTCATGAAAGAGCCAATTTGATATTGCAGCAATGCAATTAAAGAGTCTGGAGATGTACCCCAAAGAGAAAAGGCAGGTTGTGTGTTTCCATGACATACTGGAACCAAGAGGACAGGTGAGAACCTGCCCGCTGGTACCTGCTATAAGCCAAGGCACCTCCTGCAAGAGATCAGTGAGAAATAAATACTCCTCTGACAGCTCCTCACACAAGTGCCCACCTTCTATGATCCAGGGGGTCCCTCTGCCAACATTTGGTCAAGCTATGGTTATGTGCCCATGTGCATAAGTTCAAGGTCACCAGACCACAAGAGCCATTCCTTTACCTTGAACCTTGGAAAGAGGTGGACATGCACGTTCTTCCCAACAGTTTCTTGAAAATGCGGCCCTCCTGTGATGTTGCCTTGGATGTGGGTGCCTATCCAATTCTGGGCAATTCTGTTGCTTCTGTAACTTACTTCACAGCACTTCCTAGACAAGTCGCAGGTGTTTTCTGTATCTTTTTTTTTTCTTTTTTTGACAGGCAGAGTGGACAGTGAGAGAGAGAGAGAGAGAGAGAGAGAGACAGAGAGAAAGGTCTTCCTTTGCCATTGGTTCACCCTCCAATGGCCGCCGCGGCCGGCGAGCGAGCTGTGGCTGGCGCACCGCGCTGATCCGATGGCAGGAGCCGGGTACTTATCCTGGTCTCCCATGGGGTGCAGGGCCCAAGTACTTGGGCCATCCTCCGCTGCACTCCCTGGCCACAGCAGAGAGCTGGCCTGGAAGAGGGGCAACCGGGACAGAATCCGGCGCCCTGACCGGGCCTAGAACTCGGGGTGCCGGCGCCGCAAGGCGGAGGATTAGCCTAGTGAGCCGCGGCGCCGGCCTTCTGTATCTTTAAAATCTAATAATGTTACTGTGATGTCATCTTGCCATTGATCGTCTGGGTTGATTTTCCCTAAAACCTAATGGGCTCTGCCTGTGTGCCTCCTCACATAAGAAATCTATCAATTTTGTTTTTATAAGTCAAATCTCCTAGAGGCTCTTCTAAGCCTGATTCCTGTATAGAGGAAATGTTTTAAAGAATAAGAAAGTATGTGTCACATTACAACTTTTATTCAAGAACTATAAAGATTCCCAAACAAGTTAAAACAAAATAGAAAACAATTCTGATGATTGAAACACAGTATTGCCAGCAGCTAAAGACTTACAACATTGTTAATTTGTAAACAAACTGTAGGAAAGAAACCGCAATTCCGAAAGAAGGAAACCTTTAAACGTGAATAAATGAATGTATTATTTAAAACAGAAATGTCGGCTTGAATAGAGGCTTAGATTTGATCTATTCGCAGCTAAAAAAAAAAAATGGGAAAGAAAATTATTCTTTCTCAAATGCAGTAGCACACACATTACATTTCAATTGGAATCGTTCCCAGGAGGATCCTATGCGCCAAGAGCCATAAAAGCACAGGACAAGCAGTTCCCAGATCACGTAGTTCATGTTTCCTTATTTTTTTTTTTTTTTTTTTTTTTTTTTTTTTTTTTTTTTTTTTATATAGGCAGAGTGGACAGTGAGAGAGAGAAACAGAGAGAGAAAGGTCTTCCTTTGCCGCTGGTAAACCTTTTGAGATTCATTGCCGGGAACTCACAATCCTTCCTAGCAGCCGCTGTCCGCCGAGGCCAATAAATCGGCTTCACGGGGTCTGGGGCACAGGCCCCAAGTCCTGGCCGGCTCCGCAAGAGGTCCTCCCCAATCCCTGCTTCCCCGTTGGCCTCCGGGACCGTGAGCTGCTGCCCCGCCCCGCGGCTCCTCCCAATCTAGAACCTTCTTTTCTGCGTCTGCGCGGTCCGACCGGCCCACGGAACAGCCAATAGGGGACCTCAGGCTTCTTGGGAGTTTCAGGGATCCGCCCGGGAGTCCAGAAGACGGTTGACAGCGATTCTAGGACCCAACATTCAAAACTGCAGTGGACTCTTAAGTGATTATTGAATGAGTGAGATTATCTTCCATTGCAAGTGGGATGTGTCCTCGGTATAGAGCCGCCTCGACCTAGGTCCCCAACGCTGACCTGAGCAGTGCAGTTTTGCAAAGTATAATCGTAAAAACCCTGGGTAACTCAAGAAATTGAAAAACCAAACTTGCATTGGCCGGGAATTGAACCCAGGTCTCCCGCGTGGGAAGCGAGAATTCTACCACTGAACCATCAATGCACATGTGTGGCCTGGCTTCTAAAGAAGTATACAGTACAAATACCCCCAAAGATTAAAATTGTTCCACAGGAGATTTTAGGTAGTGCTGACTAAAAGCTCACAAAAACAATCAAACAGAAGTTTTTATAGGAGACTTATACAAAACAAAACTGTAAATATAAAAAATAGCTGATTTTCCAGGCTGTTTCCAGTTTGCAAAAACAGATATCTAAAGTAGAAATCAGAAATGCATTCAGTTCGCTTGCTTCTCACGGTCAAGATCAAATTGTTGGCCGGCGCCGCGGCTCACTAGGCTAATCCTCCACCTAGCGGCGCCGGCACACCGGGTTCTAGTCCCGGTCGGGGCGCCGGATTCTGTCCCGGTTGCCCCTCTTCCAGGCCAGCCCTCTGCTGTGGCCAGGGAGTGCAGTGGAGGATGGCCCAGATGCTTGGGCCCTGCACCCCATGGGAGACCAGGAAAAGCACCTGGCTCCTGGCTCCTGCCATCGGATCAGCGCGGTGCGCCGGCTGCAGCGCGCCAGCCGCGGCGGCCATTGGAGGGTGAACCAACGGCAAAGGAAGACCTTTCTCTCTGTCTCTCTCTCTCACTGTCCACTCTGCCTGTCAAAAAAAAAAAAAAAAAAAAAAAAGATCAAATTGTTGCCTTAGAAGGTTCTTAGAAGGTAGGGTTAGGTAAGTAAAATGCTAACCCAGGGAAGAAATTTAAAGCATAAACAGAAAAAAGGAAGTAAACAGAGATA